CGGGTCGGTGCCTTCTTTCTGGAGTAGTCTTCTGTCTTAGGTAAGTTGCCCGATGCGAAAGGTGCCTTCTTTCTGGAGTAGTCTTCTGTCTTAGGTAAGTTGCCCGATGCGAAAGGCTCTCCAGGTTGTTTTGGACCTTTGAGGGGGCCGGGTCGGTGCCTTCTTTCTGGAGTAGTCTTCTGTCTTAGGTAAGTTGCCTTCTGCCCTTCAAGCCCTTATGGACTTCAAAATATCTATGTATGCATATCTAAGTGTGCCGCTTTGGCGGCGGACGTGTGTGTGGGCACTTGGCGCTGAACCACACAAACGGGGCCAACCTTGCCTTCTTTTATTATTAGTTTATTATCTCTAACCGTTTTGTTTTATGGATGGCTTGTGATGATTTGCGAAGGGAATGAGAGAGAGCATCCGGGGTCTTTTAAAACAACAGACACACACATGCACACACACAGTGGCGTACGTATCTGCCTGCAGTGATTATGTTTTTAGGGTTTTAGCCCATTCTTATGGCGATCTTGAAGATCTGTTTCAAGTCCGTGATCTACATGTTTTTAGGGTTTTAGCCCATTCTTACCGTTCGGATAGCTCTATCCGCGAGAATGGTGCGATCTTGAAGATCTGTTTCAAGTGTGTGATTGTTTGCGTGTCCTTGCTGGTTTGGCGGTTTGAATGGACTCGATGGAATGGTCAGCGAGGTTGCAAAGGTCGTGCGGGCTGCAGTGAAACCTTCTGACATCTGTGATGAGAAGGATAAAAGTTTTGGTTGGGAGGTTGTCGTGACCAAGTGTACTGCAGCCAGTGGAAGTTTTGTTTGCCAATGTAACTGTAGCTTTGGAGACAGCCATACATTCTTTTATGGGGGAGCCCAACAGTTAGAAAGGCCAAAGGTCCTGGTTGGAAGGTTGCTTGTGACCTGGAGCTTCTGTTTGGGAATGTGGCTGCGCAGTTTTGTACACAGCCAGTCTTTCCTTTATGGGGGACGTCAAGTCAGCACAGTATCAATGGTGTGGTGAAGATTCCATAAGAGCGCAATTTCTTATTTCAGCACGTCGAAGGGCACTGATCGAAAATGATCTTCCTCTTCTGGTTAGATGCCTGTTCCCTCAAATCTCAGTCATTATGTGTAGTGTAGATAAGGGAGTCGTCTGCTGCTCGCGCAATTTCTTCGAAATGCAGGGTGGTGTCGTTCAATCTCGGCACCTCCCGAATTCCAGCAATGTCTCCGCTCAAACAGCTGTGTTTCTTCGGCCTGCTCCCGAAACGGAGAGGCTCACTGCGCACCGTATATTGGAGGACAGTTGATCTCGTAAAGAGGATCCAACTCCACCAGTTTCTTCGCCCTGCTTCGTCTCTTTACCGTCTTTCCCTCAACTATATGGGGTATGGTTGTGTCAGCTCCATTGAAGGCCGTTGCGAAGGCATTGTTAACAAGCCACCCCCTAAGTAGTCAACGTGGGGAACAGTGGATGCTTGTCTGGTTTGGATGTTTGTTTGTGCCCGTCTCTTGGTCCATACAATATGGCGAACCGGTGTGTGTTCTGCATCTCCTGTCTATGTTTTAGCTGTTGGCTTGCACTAGGTTGTTGTCATCGCCTTTCAGTGCACTAGGTTCTACTGTTCAACGCTTGGGTCTCTTTGTGCTCTGGATGCTCTTTTTACTCCATAACTTTGCGCTCCGCTACATTACCATTCTGCACTGCTCCGCTGGACCCTCCTGCAACCTTTTCCCTCCCCGGCGCCCCCCCCCCCCCCCCCCCCCCCCCCCCCCCCCCCCCCCCCCCCCCCCCCCCCCCCCCSCCCCACAAGTGCCCTTAATAGTATCCTCTCCCTGCGTCAGCCCTGTGATTGAAGCGCTTAACTGGTTTTCTGGCAGAGGTAATGCCTAGTGGGACTGTGGCAATGCACTGTGGGGGGTGCCTACTGGGTGAAGTGGTAGTCGTTGAAAAAAGTAGCTGAGCATCACCGCTCGTTATTTGCTGTACTGGTGCAATCTTCCAGTGCCAAAGATTGAACTTGTATATTTGTTGATTTCATGAATGCTGCACAAAGTCCGTGATCGTGACTGCACTGCACCAGAAGCTCGACCGGTGTGGGCCCCGATAACAAATATGTTCTGTCAAATTATGTGCATGCGAGGGGCAACCTTTCCCATGTGGTGGCAGGGAGAGCAACAAAGCTGGGAACACGGATCCGAAATCCTCTGAAGGGCCTTGCATGACAAGAGAAGTGTGTGCACCGATTTCCTTGTTCTTACTCAACCAACAGTCGAGATGCAGTGTCGAAACCCATGTCTTTAGCGCTCGGTCGCTGCTGCCAGATGAGTAAGGTCGCTGCTGCCAGTTAATTTGTGTGTCATGCGGTATTGGCCGAACCTGCATCTATCACTGTGACATGCCAGAGCGGCAGAATCTGCATCGTAGACAAAGTGGCTCGGGATGTACCGGTCAGTCCGACCATGTCTATCACTGTGCTTAGTTTCATAATTGTATTGAATTTAGTATTGTATTAATATCAATGAATACAACTTGGGAACAAAATGGAAATACTGGGAGACTGCAGGTAGACTGTATAGTTACCCCGAGGCAGCCTAGGACAGCTGTTTTGAAAGTGAAGAGAAAATGGGAAAGCGCATTTTTCATATGTCGTTGAAACTCAGATTTTGATGGGGACAACTGATTGCAATCCAACGGTTAAGGCGCCCACCACCAGTACAAGGGGGAGCCGGGATGGAGGAGGGGCTATGGTGGTTTGTTGAGGAGAGGGCACAAGTAATGTGGTTGCACACAAACAGGATGCAGAATGCACCGGGACCAACGCATCCCAGGGGCCTACTGGGGGCTAGTGTGTGTTGACGAAGTTTTGAGTGCCCCGATGCTGGCAGTTTTTCATGCTTGTTTGGATTGGAGAGGAAATCTGATAGAAAGCATGGACATACGGTAGGTCCCGCTGTGTCAGTAGTGTTGCTTATTATGCCTTAGGGGACGCCTAGCAGGTTATATTTCTAAATTGAGATGACTTCCCTGTGAAAATTGTTGTGGGCATGTGGATGTGAGTGTGGCCGTGTTCGACACTGGATGATATCAGCAGGGTGTCCAGAAGAAGACTTTCCCCTGACTGAAATGGCCGGGTGTACGTGTTTCTGGTCAGGTTGTTGTGCTCGGGTAGGCATAGGCCTTGAGCCTTCTGACAAAGAGTGGAAAACATCTTTTGAGGCGAGGGGAGGGGAGGGGAACCAACCTGTTTCCCATAAGGCCTGGAAGTGCCTTTCTAAAACTTTCGAAGGGATAAAGAAGTAGGTCTTTTTTGCAGTGTGCTTCCAGGTGGACCCCTCTAATGTGTCTCCAGCTATAAAAGAGAGAGAGGGGAAATGTACTTGTGTGGAGAGGGCACTCCAGGCAGGCCAGACTGAACCTTGATGTGCACAGATGTCCATGTGCATGATCTGGAACTGGTTGAAGGTTTTCCTGAGATGCATTTAGGGCTTAGGGTATCTTTGCCCTTGGGGTTATAGGGTCAGCTACCGAATTTATTTGCCATATGGCTTATGCGCAGTGTTGTACCCAGGTGACCAGGTATTCATGTAGGCCGCCCAAAGCGAGAAAACAGTATGGGGCAAGAAGGTGAGCTGGGATAAATGCATTTGCCAGATGCTTGAAGTTTTACCCAAAGCCAAGAGGACTGATTGGGGCTCCGATGTGGACTGCACTGAGACATTGGAGGACATGTGGAGTCCTTATCATGAACATCTCTCATCCATGCCATGGGAGGCATATGCCCTGATCTATGCTAGGCCACCTCAGTGAACGGGGACTGGAGTCGTATGTTGGGCAACCTCAGTAGAGGGGGGTTGGAGTCATATGCTAGGCAAACTCACTGGAGGGGGGTCGGATTCATACAGTCCTCTTGTCATTGTGTAGGGGTAAGTTCGTTTGTGTACATGTGTGTGTGTGTGTGTGTGTGAGAGAGAGAGAGAGAGAGAGAGAGAGAGAGAGAGAGAGAGAGAGAGAGAGAGAGAGAGAGAGAGAGAGAGAGAGAGAGAGAGAGCCCACCCATCCTTCCACCCATTTGTCCATCTTGACATCCAGCCATCTGTACACGTATCTCACCATCTGACCACCGGTCCTCCCAACAGCCATTCACTCATCCAACAATCGATCTGTGGATCATTTATCCATCTATCCCTCGATCTGATCCACTTATCCATCGAACCATCCATCCACAAATCCATCCATCAAACCATTCATTCCTGTTTCCAGCCAACCTGCGCTCTTAT